ACAGGTTCAGATATTACAGGCTAACGATGGAACTAAACGAGCCATTCATCGGTTACCATTTGCATGTTTCCAACAAGGCCTTGTCTATATAAGACTCAAACTCACTGCGGATCCAGACATTTGAATTGAGAAAGCTTCCTGGAGAGGTGGCGAAACGTCTTCAAATCTTGAAAACCAAGTCCAGTGGATATTTTTTGAATTTTTACGGAATTCTTGAAGAAACGTGCAAAAAAAAAAAATAATTGTGTCAATCAATCTTCCCATGGGCAACAACGTGAAATGCAGAACAAAAAACATAGGTTCCTCCTTACATTTTAATGAGCTTTTTAACCAATGTACATAAACATAAATTTACTGAAAGTTATTTATTTATTTATGATTTAACCTTTTCAGTACTATTATGTATTAACTCTCGTTTTTAACTAAATATTAGAATATTTAAATGAGTTGACTCTGATGGCAGCTACAATATAAAAAATTATATATATTCTTTGAAAAATGTTTCACATAACTACAGATAAATTATTGTTACTCAGTAACATTTACGGTAGTGTGCTTTAAAAATTTTGCAACTTTTTTCAGTTAAGCATTTCAATCTAACCCTGACAAGGGTTGCCTATCCAAACTCTTTCCAAATCACACTCCAAGTTTTGGGGAAAAGTTGGTAGCCATGTTTGGTTACATATTTATTTCACAGCTATGTTTGTAGGGTTAAGTCTGAGTTAGGTCACTCCAGATTTTAATAATCTTTCTGTTTTAGGCTTTCATTCACCATCTAGTAAAAAATGATTACCATCCGAAGAACTGGGTTATTTATCAATGGAGTATTCTCCGAATAATACAAAAGAAAAATACACCCTTAAGTCTCTACACTGCTTAGTCCAAATAAGTTAAACACAATTATTGATAATAAGCATACAATACAGAGAGAATGCTTACCTTAAGCTACTATGAGGTCTGATGAAGTAGTGGCAAAAAAAAAGGTTCTTCTCTTTTTATCCTCAAGACTATGCATCAGTGTGAAAAAAAAACTGAATCTCAAGGTCCTGCCCTACTTGTTTTTTTCAAAAGACTAAATAAAACTGCAGCTTTCACCACATAACCCAACCACAAAATTTCAAAATAAGGAAGTAAAAGCAGTTCAACAGAACACCCTATATCTAACATAGAGGAGAATATACAATCGCGTCTCTTCACAAACATGCAAGGTTAACAATTTTAGACATGTTAGCATGTTGATAATATTCAATCAGTATTGGAAACTGGGGAGTGCTGGCCTAGTGGTTAGGGCATAGGGCTTTGAATCCTGAGATTGTGAGTCTGATCCCCCATCCCCACAGACTGCCACACTGGGTCCCTGAGCAAGACCCTAACCCCAGACTGCTCCCCGGGCGCCTCACAATGGCAGCCCACTGCTCCCCAAGGGGATGGGTTAAATGCAGAGAAGTAATTTCCCTCTGGGATTATTAGAGTATATAAAATTAGTCAAAAAAAAAAAATCTTCTCTAACATGTATAAACAAAAAATGAACCACAAACAAGTCTCCTTATTTGTCTTGTGATCTGCTGCAAATATTCATTATGAGGAGACAGCTGCTACACTTTCGTATTTGCCTCTGTTACTCAAAAATAGTTTGGATTGGAAAAGACACATTTTGGAGGATTAACTAATATATTATCGATAATAGAAAAATACAATTTAAAGCTTGTTTTTTTTTTAAAGTATTTTTTCTTAACTTACATATGAATGCAGAATTTTATTTGCTTTTGGGGATGGTTACAGCGTGTTATATATACAGTATCTTTCACTTCTAAAAAAGAAATTATTGTGGGGTGTGCTCTGGTTGTACAGTGGTTAGGGCACATAACCCATGTATGGAGGTCTTACTCCTCGACGCGGCTGACCTGGGTTCAAATTCAACCTGTGGTCCTTTGCCGCATGTCTTTCCCCCTCTCTTTTGCCCTATTTCCTGTCAGCCTACTGTTCAAACCATGAGCCACTAATGCCATTAATGAAAAATCCGACAAAAAAAGGGATTATTGTTAATACTGCATATCATATTGCTATTTTTTATTCAAACAGTTGCAAACTGTTACAGTTACAATTACAGTTTTCTTATTTGATTCTCACCTGGTCAGCTTTGACCATATGAGAATGACATATTTAGTTGTAAGGCCATATATGTCGAAGATTTAAACTGATAAAAAAATTTTACAAAGCTTTCAGTGATTTAGGAAGAATTGAACTATTTATTAGCAAAATAAACTTTTAAACTTTAAACTTTTTTTTTCCCAAGTGAAAATCATAGACTAATTATGCAAAATTTACCTTGTTTCTTAAATCATTTTGGAAAACTACAACTGAATGAAACTATTTATATATCTAACTATAAACGTGCCATGATTAACCCATGCTCTCGTTAGGCTGGTAAATTCTTAAAATTCACAATATAATTGCATCATTGATATTTTAAAATAAATAAATGTTTAATATATATATATATATATATNAATCCACATTTATATGCCCAGAAAGTTCAATGTATCTAATCTAAAGGCCTTTTTGTGTTAAATTTTGAAAACAGTTCAAAGGTTGAGTTGTTGAATCATTCAAATGTAAAATATTTTAAGCTAAAATATATTACAAGTGAGTCTCAGTTGTTCTCTCAATGTTTCATTTTTATTCTTTGTATAAATAATCCTACATCTATCAAACATTTCTTTAATCCGGTGCCAGGAGTCAGTCTCTGTGTTATATTGAAGATTCTGGGGATCATAATGCTCTGCAGTGCAGTCTGCATCTTTCAGAGGTGAGACTCATTTTTCTATGAGTTGATTCTTTGAGCCGCAGACCTGCTGGTCTCTGCTACATGTTTGTTCACTTTATTTTTATTCTTTCAGCTGGTTTAGATTATCCAACAAACAAGCAATGAAGGTACCGTAAGTTTGTTTATATTCAGTGTATGAAAATGATTCAAAATGCTTGAAACAGAAATTGGAGACTTTTATTTCAATTTTATTCATATATTTAAAGTTACACTGATGTTTAAAGCCAGATTTTCATCCTTAGCAAAGCAAATAATAATGTTTGATTTCTTGCAACAGTAGTTTTAATGTATGGCTGTTAAACTTGATATTTGACTTGAAGAGAACCTAAAAATGATGCTGCTGTAAAGTGGGCTGAGTAATGAAAGAAATATCCTTCAGAAACTTTCTAAGTTTTAATAGTCAGTCAGAGGAGCAACATCAACATAATTCTTAATTGTTTAATGTCCACAGGAGCTGATTCACTGCTGCTGTTTGAAAGATAATGTTTAAATCTTTATTGAAGTGAATGAGAGGAAAACCAGAGAGACTAAAGAGAAATTAGTCTGACAATAATTCTTCATTGGCTAATTTTCACAGGACACAGATGAAGCAGATGATGTCAACAGAGTGACGGAGGTTCAGGCATCATGAACCTCAAGGAGACAAGGAGGAGGCCTATTCCAGAGTCAAAGGTTCTCCGTTTTTCATCCATCAATCCAATGAAACTTCAAGGTTACAGCAGGAACTGGTGTCTGTCTGCAGCCGTCAGCAGGCCAGAAGAGGAGGCCCACCTGGACAGCTCACCAGTTCATCACAGGACCAACCATTGGGTCATGAAGTCATTAATTATTGCTTTCTGTTAATTTTGACTGTGCATGTGTTAGAAAATAAAATGTTATACTTTAGTGGATCATATTGCTGTAAATAATGCTTGATTAGCAGAACTGGAATAATGATATTAATGTTACTCTAAATGTAATAGTATTACATAATATTTAAAATTCTTGTTTTGTCCAGGATTAAATCATTAATTTAATTTTTCCAAATAAATTTGTAACCAAATTAAAATAAATCTGAACACAGTATTTAAAATATTTTATGCAAATAAAGGGTCAACATGACTTTTTTTATTTATTTATTGTCATTTTGTATACACAGACTGTATACAAAACAAAATTTCGTTTTTAGAACATTTCCATTCTATAAATTGCAGCAGTGATCAAATGTAAATAGTGTGGGAGAAAAGACATGGTGCAAAAAACATTGATATGGAAGTTCAGAGCATTTATATATATGGTTCAAATATGCATTATTTTGGTTTGGTTTTATCAGTGTGATACAGAGTCTGTGACATGGGTCCCGCTGGGTCCTTAGCAAAATTAAGCTTCTGTGTCAAACTGTATGGGTGTA